CCCCCGGTGAGGCCCTGGAATGTGACCTCCCCACTCCGCTCACCCACAGGCACTGTCTGTGTCCTGCTGTCCTTCCCCTTCATCTTCAGCCCGTGCCTGGGCTGCGGGGCCGCCACGCCGGAGTGGGCCGCCCTCCTCTACTACGGGCCCTTCGTGGTGGTCTTCCAGTTCGGCTGGGCGGCCACACAGATCGCCCACCTCAGCCTCATCCCGGAGCTCGCCACCAGTGACCACGAGAAGGTGGAGCTCACTGCCCTCAGGTACGGCCCGAAGGGGGAGCCCTTCCGCCCTTGGGCTCAGCCGCGCGGCCCCAGGACGGTGCACCCCAGCTTCGCCCCAGCTCCCGGGCCTGCCTGGTGGTGTTAATCAGCTGTTGCTGTGGTAATGCACGGCCCCAAGCTGGCGGCATTAGACGGCGTGCCCGTGCAGCTTGTGGTTTCTGTGGGTTAGGGGTCAGGCTCGGATCAGCTGTATTTTCTTTTTTCCAAGATTTATTAGAGGGTGGGGGGAGGGGCAGAGAATCTTGGACTCCCCACTAAGCGCGGAGCCCGACACGGGGCTCGATCTTGTGACCCTGAGGTCATGACCAGAGCAGAAACCTAGAGTCTGATGCTCCCTGGTCTCTCTGGAGGCTCCCATCAGGGCACCCGTTAGGGCTGGGGTCTCAGCGGAGGCTTAGGTTTTCCTAAGGATCTCCTGATGAGGTCTGGCTCACCCAGGACCAATTCCTTTAATGTGAGCTGTAGAATCCCTTTACCTTTATTCACAGATCCCCTCCCGTGGGGGAGGGGTTGGACTGGGTGGGACCAGGGTCGTCATAGAATTCGGCATGCCTGGCGTGGAGACGTTTGGCCCGTTGACTTGCTTGCGGCACAGATAGGAAGTTCTCCTGGAGAGAACCTAGGAGCATTTATGGAGTGCTTGCTGTGTACAGGCGCATTTCTGGGCCCTTCACGTGGATTACCTTCTTTAATCCTCCTGGCAATCGTCACAGGCCCCTCGTGGGCTTGAGCAGAGTGTCCCCCTGCGGGACGGTGTGCAGTAGGGAAAGGGAAGAGTGGGTCGAGTTCTGGGAGGAAGGGCCCGCACAGACGAGGGCTGGAGCTCCAGGAGGGGCTGGGCCCTGGGGTGGCGGGGGGTGCCTGCTACATGTGTGCTCCTCTGCGGCTCTGGTCATGGTGGCATCTTCACGGGGGCCTTGCTGCCCCCACTGTGGCCCGCTGGGCCCCAGTGCTGCCCAGCCTGGTGTCCTCCCAGCCCTGCCTCTGGGTTCTGCATTACGGCACAGGTGCAGCCCGGTGGGGCCAGTGACACCCCTCGGGCCCCAGCTGGCGGGGCGGGTGGTGCCGAGACCAGGCTCCGGGGTGCACTTTCCCACCAGTCTTGTAGCCTTTTCACTTTTATCTCTGGGGTCTTGTGCTCACTTTCAGAAAGGGAAACTGAGTCTTGGCATGTGATCCAGAGGCTCTGCCCCCACCCCCCAGCCCCTGGAGGGACACTGCTCTGAGGCCGCAAGCAGCAGTAGCCTCAGACGCTTCTAGACCACAGAGCCCCAGCCCTGTCGAGGCCCAGGGTCCGGGAACCAGGAATCCCAAATCCTGGCTTCCGAGTGTCTCCGGTCTTCCTGGAGTCTCTGTGCCCCTGGCCTGGGCGGCTGGGCTGTCTGGGTGGAGTTGTGGGGCCGGTGTCAGTCATCAGATAACGTGCTGGGGCCACCCCGTGTTTGGGGGCTGAATGCTCCGCCAGCCAGAGATGCCCCGGGTCCCGTGCCGAAGCCTCCCCTGCCCCCGCCAGGTACGCCTTCACCGTGGTGGCCAACATCGCCGTGTACGGGGCCGCCTGGCTCCTGCTGCACCTGCAGGGCTCCCCGAGCACAGAGATGGCCCGCGATGTCACCGACCAGCTGGGGGTCCAAGACGTGCAGGTGTTCCAGGTGAGCGGGGCCCAGGCCGGACACCCCCGTGGCCCTGACCCCGGGGGCTTGGGCTGAGAGCACTGCCGCTGACCCCTCTCCCGCCTGGCCTCCAGAACCTCTCCCTGTTGGTGATAGGAGTCGGAGCCGTCTTCTCGCTTCTGTTCCACCTGGGCACCCGGGAGGGGCGCCGGCCCCCGGCGGAGCAGCCGGACGAGCACAGCCCGCTGCTGGCCCCCGCGACCGCCCGGCCCCTGCTGCTCTGGAAACACTGGCTCCGGGAGCCGGCCTTCTACCAGGTGTGCGGCTGGCTGGGGAGGGGGCTGGCGGACACGGGGGCAGACAGTCCCTTTGCCGTCCTCCGGTTGCCACGGTCTGCCCCGCCCGCTGGCCAGGCGGTCACCGCGAGGGGCTCAGGTGCCGCTGCAGGGCTCCCGTGGGCCCCCGATCCCCGCTGACCCACGCCCTTGGCTTGCCTGCCGCAGGTGGGCCTGCTGTACATGAGCACGAGGCTCATCGTGAACCTGTCCCAGACCTACATAGCCATGTACCTCACCTACTCCCTCAACCTGCCCAAGGTGAGCTGGGGGGCGGGCCCGGGTCCACCGCACCCCGCGCCCCGCCGAGTCCCCCCGAGCCTACGCTGCTCTGCCCCCGCAGAAGTTCATCGCCACCATCCCGCTGCTGATGTACGTCAGCGGTTTCTGCTCCTCCTTCCTCATGAAGCCGGTCAACAGGAGCATCGGGAGGAACGTGAGTGGCCGGGTTGGGCGGGAGTAGGGGCCCCAGAAGCGTGGGATCCGGCCCGGGGCCGCCCCGCATCTGGCTCCCGCGTGGCTCGGGGCTGCGGTACTCTCGGACTCGGTGCTGCCCGGGGCAGTGGAGCGCCGTCCGTCACCGTGTTTGATTTTAACGGCTCAGTGGCGCCTGGCGGTAGCGCCCCGGCCTCCGGGTCCCCCGGGGCCTGAGCGAGGGCACCGCGGGACGGTCCAGCCGGACGCCCTCCCCGCGGCGGCCGGCCGAGGAGCACACGGACCGGCGGCTCTGACGCCGGCCCCGCTCCCCCCGCAGCTGACCTACTTTGCGGGGCTCCTGGCGATCCTGGCCTTCGCCGCCTGGGTGGCGCTGGCAGACAGGCTGGGCGTGGCCGTGTACGCAGCGGCCGTGCTGCTGGGCGTGGGCTGCGCCACCATCCTCGTCACCTCGCTGGCCATGACAGCTGACCTCATCGGCCCCCACACGGTAAGGCGGAGCGGCGGGGTGGGGCGGGGGCTGGGGTCCGGGCCCTGGGTGCTGAGCCCCCGCTCTTGTACCCCAGCACAGTGGAGCCTTCGTGTATGGGGCCATGAGCTTCTCGGATAAAGTGGCCAACGGGCTGGCAGTCATGGCCATCCAGAGCCTGTACCCCTGCTCGTGAGTGCCGCTCGTTTATTCACAGGGGAGCGTGCGGGGGGTGTGTGCCGGCCAGGCCCTGCCCCGGGTCTGGGGGTTCGGCCTGGACAGAGGACAGCATGCGGGCGGGGCTCGCACACTGGGGCCCCACTTGTTCCTGACCTGGGGCAACCCGCCAGCTGTTGTACTCCGGGGACGCGCGCCGGATGTACCAGGGCAATGGGTGTGGGCAGGGCCAGGCAAAGCCGGAATCTGCTCAGACCCTCAGAACCTAGTTCTAGACCCAGATGGTTCTAGACCATTGAGTGGAGACCCGTAGAAGCCTGGGATCTGGGAACAAAAGCCCATCTGCTCCTCTGTCCTCAGGGGCCTGGGGGCAACACCAGCTACTTTCGTAAGCACAGAACTGTGACCCAAGCCAGTGGCAGGGGGTGTGTAGGAAACACCACTTACGGAGAGACCTGTCTGGGGCAAGAGGTCAGGGAGAGCTTCCTTGAGGAGGTGACATTGGACCTGAGACCTGTCAGGGAGTTCCAAGCAAATGGGGAGGAACCACCCCTACAAAGGTCCTGTGGCAGGACCGGGATCAGTGTCAGAGGAAAGCGTGTGGGGGAAGGCCTGTGCAGTTGGAGCAGGGAGGGGATGGGGCAGGTGTGCAGGGCCTCGGGGGCCTCGGGGGCCTCGGGACAGTGGTAGTCCAGGCAGGTGGTGGTGATGGGGCTGGACCCGCATGAGACAGAGAATGGGAGAGGATGGGACAGATGTGGGTAGGGGGCGGGGGGTGGAGGGTGACACCCCTGGTTCTGGTGGCCCAGTAGCTGAGCAGGAGGGCCATGCTGGAGGGTCCTGACAGAGGGCAAAGCCCCTGCTTCTCCCCTCCCCCGCCCCACAGCTTGGAGATCTGCTGCAGGGCCTGCATGGGCTTCTACCGCTGGGTGATGGTGGCCGCCACCGGAGGCGTAGGCGTGGCTGCCACCCTCTGTCTGTGCAGTCTCTTCCTCTGGCCCATCCGCCTGCGGAGCTGTGAGTCCGAGCTGCGCCCCACCCCCATGGACCAGGGGCTGGAGGGGTGGGCTCACAGCAGCCCCCCACACTGACTGCACCCCACCCCTTGTTCTGCAGGGGACCCTGGAGCCCAGCCCTGATGCCGCACGCGCCTCAGTCGCCACCCTGTGAACGTGAACTCTGTTCCAGGCCCCACGGAGGCCAGGAGCGGCCCTCCTCTGAGCTGTCCCTCCCTCCCATCCCGGCCCCCACCCTTGCCTGGCTGTGGGGGGAGGACGGTCAGGATCCCAGACATGGAGGTGAGCCCTCTGGGATCCAGGCGCGCGCCAGGCTCACACCTCACCCCGGGCTCGGCTGTGGTTTCCTACGGGCCGCCAGGTCCCCTCTGCCATGGTGTGGTCACTGGGCCTGACAGGAGCCTCAGGTGAGGGTGGGGAGGAGCAAGTCCCATGCCCTGCGCCCAGGCTACTGCTGGCCACGAATAAAGAGCCACCCGTGGGTGAGGGCTGTGGCCTCAGCTATGTGCCCGCAGTCCGGAGTGGGGAGAGAGCAGCTGAGATGCCCTGAGTCTGCCTGCCTCTGGCCCAAGTTCGGGTCACTGGGGTGTTGGCTGGTGGCTGGACCACCCAAGGTCCCCAGGGTCCCCGAAGGTGGAGGGCTGCACGGAGGGGGGCTGCAGAGGGTGGCGTCGGGCAGCATGAACTTTATCAGTGGATGGGTGTGTAGACGGGTGGGGGCCGCTGGTTGGTGGAGGGGCAGTAGGGTTCCAGGTCCCACCGCCTGTGGTTCTGCGTGGTGTAGCGCGGGCGCTGGGGTGCCGACAGGAGCGGCACGTAGTCAGACCCCTGCCATGGCGGCTCCGCCTGGTACTGGTGCCTGGTGACCACTGTGGGGCCAGGACCCAGGTCATCTCCTGTCCCCGGCCACTCTGAACCCCAGCCGAGGTGGCCTTGGTCCCCCCGACCGCCTCCGCTCCTCACCGTATTCCTTGCCTCGGAAAGGTCTGTCTGTCCACAGCACGCTCCCCCACCGCGTGCTGGGGACCCTGTACTGGGCAGGAAGGACAGGGTCGTACCAGGCGGTCTCCCGGAGGCGCTGGGTGTAGGCTGTTGGGGGAAGGGGCGGGGTAGGTCATCTGTGGCCCTGGCCTTCCCCTTGGGGCTGGGAGGGGCCGGGGGGGCGCAGGCCGGGCCAAGCACTCACCTGAGGGCATGCTTCGCTCCCAGTGGCTGTGACAGCCGTGCCAGCGGGCGTAGGCCTCCCGGTACGGGCTGTCCAGGGCCCGCGGGAGCGTGTACCAGGCTTCCCGAGACTCAGAGTTGGTCAGGCCGGTGTACCACGGCTGGCCCGCTGCGTCGCGTCCCATGGGGGCGTACTTCCAGCGCACTGCCTGCCTGATGGCCGGTGTCCAGCGGGGACCCTCCAGGGACAGATAGTCATCGCTGGGGGGGTGAGGGCAGCAGAGGCTGAGCCTGGCTGGGGGCCTCCGCTGCCCTGCACTGCTGGCATGCACACCCTGGCCCTGGCAGGCAGAGGAGTGCGGGCGCTGAGTCCTGTGGCCTGCTTCCCTCCAACACCTCCCCCTGCCCCGCATTAAACCTTCTCCTTGTTCAACACTTCTGGTCCATCCCCCCAGGGACACGGGGTGGTGGGGGGAGGGTGCACCTACGGCAGGAGGCCTCTGCCACCAGACCTGTCCTAGGCAGGGCACTAGGACGGCTTTCCCAGGGAGGCCGCAGCTGTCCAGGGCCAGTGGGTGTCCAGAGGCCCTGGGGCAGCTGGGACCAGTGTAGGCAACGGGACTGCGGTGCAGAGATGGGAGTGCCCGGTGGTGTAGTCGGGGGAGCGTGCGACTTGATCTCGGGGTCGTGAGTTTGAGCCCCATGCTGGGTGTGGCGAGAACTCGGAAATAAAATCTGAAAACCAAGTCGCTGTGTGGTACTGTTAAAAATGACAGGGAAAACCCCAGAAGCGGAAAGGAAAGCTGAGAAGTGAAAGACACCCCCAGAGCTGCTCAAGCCGCAGGGACCTCATCGGGCAGAAACCTCACTGGCCGTTCCTTCCGGAAGGCCTGCCAGGAGCACCAGTGCCCTGCAGAGGGTCCAGCGGGCCCTTCGCCCCGGCAGTTGGGGGCGCTGCTGACCACAGGCTCTTTGGACCTGCGCCCTGCGTGGTCCAGAGATCATGGAAAACTGGAAACCCATGCATCTCACTGAGGGTGGGGTGAGCGTGGAAGGTTCTGGAACATCGGTCTTGGGAACCTGACACACACTGGCTTTGCCACGCGCCCACGATCCTGGGTCCCCTGTCCTAGCAAAGGGAATACTTCTGAGCCCCGACGTGCACAGCATTTGTGAAACGAAAGGCCGCCAGTCTAACGTGATAGTGGGAGGTGGGCCTCTGGGAGCAGCAGGTTAGACCTGGAAGAAACCCCAGTCGATGCCTGCTCGGTCCACGACCCAGAGCCTTCCTGCCCTTTAAGAGAGCGCACGTGTGCCCCCGGCCCCTGCACCCCACCCCGGGGCGGGCACTGCGCAGGACGGACGTGCGGCTTGCGGCGGGGCGGCCCAGGGGCACACCCCACTCTTCCTACAGCTGCACAGTCCCCCGTTACGGTGCCTTAGCCAGTCCGCCGGGATGAGAGGGCTCCCCAAATCCACGCCCTCCTGGTCTCAAGCATCCCCCTGGGGAGCTCAGCAGACACTGTTGCTAAGCTGTGGGCCTCGGGCTGGGCTGGCCCTCGTGTGGGGCCTGGTGTCCTTGGAAGGGGAGCCTGGACACGGAGGCCATGTGACGCTGGGGCAGAGATCGAGGTGACCTGTCCTCGGGGTGCCGAGGACAACCAGAAAGGCGCTAGAACTGGGAGGCCCAGCAGAGCTGCTCCCTCAGGCCCCGGAAGGAACCAGCCCTGCAGACCCCCTTGATCTCTGGCTTCCGGCTTCCAGACCTGGGAGAGAGTCAATCTCAGTGGTTTAGGGTCGCAGAAGCCTAGCCTGGTTCTGTGAGAGCTGCTGCGGGAGGCTCCTGGAGAGACCCAGTCACCACCAGGCTGTGCCCCTGCCTACAGCGGACCCCTGGCCAGCGGTGCTCACGCACACCCTGCTCTGGCCGCAGGCGGGGAGGGCAGTACCAGGAGCAGGCGGGGGCAGGAGGTGCGGGGAGCAGCCAGGTCAGGATGGGGTGAGGCAGGGCGAGGGTAGAGCACCGAGGTGCCTGGACTGAAGAGTAAACACTCACGAGAAGCCAGACTGAATGCCACGACACCTGGGACGCAGAGGCGGCGCACGGGGCCGTGGGGGGCACTCACCTGAACAGAGGTGCTGGGAAATCTGTTTCGAGGGTCCCCCGGGGGACATAGGGCCGGTCAGCCTCCTGCCGCAGGGTCTGCATGTCTGCCTCTGGGTCCCCAGGGGCTCATGCCTAGAAGGCCTGTGGGGCCATTGTTGACAGCGACAAAGACTACCCTCGGTGTCCCGGCAACAGTACTGGCCAGCACTGGTCCCCGTCCAGACCGCTCCCTCCCTCCCCCAGCAGAGGCCGGCGGGCAGGTGGGGGGAGGCATGAGCGAAGGGGCCGTATGAGCCCTGCTCCAGGTGCCTGACACGGGGCTCCCACCTCTTCCTCTTCGGGCCCCCTCAGAACACCCACCAGGGGCGCTCTGGGCCGTTCCCTCAGGCACACCCTTCCAGGAGCTCCAGCTGGGACCCCACGTTCACAGCCGTCCCTCCTCTGCTTCTGGGATACGTTTGGAGCTAGATCTGCGGGCACACGCAGCAGCTCGGTTCGCAGCCCTCAGCTGCATGAGGGACACACAGACCACGGTCCCCCAGGCGCGGGAGCGTCCTGTGGCCACAAGCAGGACCAAGGCACCCCCACGCGCAGCCCCGGGGACGGACCCTGAGCCCATGACACTCAGGGAGGGAACCAGACACAGAAGCCACACAGGGTGTGAGTCCATTTATGTGACATGCCCAGACCAGGCTCCTCCATGGACGGGAGGGGGCTCGCGGGGGCCGAGGGCTGGAGAGGGTGAGTGGGGAGTGACAGCGACGGGGTTGCTTTTGGGGTCATGGAACGTTCTAGAGCTAGACAGTGGCAGCACAACCTCATGAACATAAAATCACTGAATTACACGCTTTAAGATGGCAAATTGGGTGTTACGTGTATTTCATCACGTAACGAGGAACAAGAACGCCCAGGCCTGCCCTGGGCTTGCACCTGCTCCTGGTGGCCTGGGCCGCGCCGCCTCTAGGCCCTGTGCTGGGTCTCACCGCCACCCGCTCCCTTCCCTCTCAGCCATGCACACCCAGGGCTCCCGCCGCGTCGGGGGTGGAAGCCTGAGTCATCCCCACAGCCCCCAGCCGGCAGCCCCTGCCCGTGCCTCCCCCACACCACGCCGGAGCCTCTGCCACCAGCGCCACCTGCACCAGGGGCTCCCTGCTCTCCAGGCCCCTGATCACAAGGCCCGTCTTGGGCTCTGGGTTCAAAGGTGCCCTTCCCCAGGGCCTCCTGCCACCTGTCCCCCGTCCCGGCCACACGTGCTCCTCCCTGTCGGCTGCAACCGGCTGTGCTGCAGTCTGGTCTCTGGTCCCCACTGCCCCGGACAGGGATCCTTACCTACAGGGAAGGGCCTCGGGGCGGGCGAGCTGCTCACTGTAGGGGGCTCGCCCGTCTTCTCAGGAGCCCCTGACCTGCCACGTCCTGCTGGAGTCACCACTCCTCTGGCCTGGCTTTCCTCTCCAGCCCCAAGACTCTCTGCTCCCCTACCCGCCTCCAAGGCCCCCTCTCCTACAGCCCTCACGGCATCGTCAGCCCCGTTCCTGCTGCCGCCCACCCATGGCCTGTGTCTCACCCTCCACTACCACTAAATCCCTTTCCCTTCCCTTCCGAAAGCTACACTCAAGGATCCACGGAAACAAATCTTACCTCCCGTGCCGTACACCGGGCTGGCGACGGCACCCACCCGCCTCAGTCCCCCTGGCGGTCAGGCGAGGAGACAGCAACGCCTACCCCGCCGGAGAGCAGCTGCGCGGCCCCTCGCCCCAGCACCCCAGCACCCCAGCCTCATCTGCTTGCTCCTCTGCTCCCCAGCCCACCCTGCCCCACTGCAGCCCGCCTTCTGCGAGCACAGACCGCACTCCTGCCCTGCTCCCCCATCCAGAGGGCAACCAGGCTGTTCCTTCCCCACAGCAGGGCTACACCCTCGCTGGGCCACAAGGACTGGCCATACCCCTGTCCTCGGCCCCAGGGGACCCTGAATTTGGGGTTACTGGCACCTCCTGCGGACAGCCCATGAGTCTTCTCCATAACCAGCCCCCCAGGACGAGCCGCCTGCCCCTTGCATCTAGACACCCCAGCTGGGGACCAGACAGACAGACAGCCCTGGCAGCGCATGAACCCACGACTGGTTTAATGACAACGATGCTGTGTCACAAGAAACAAGGCTCGCCCTGCACTAGGCGCCCCTCCGTCCCCTGCCCTGCAGTCAGTCCCACGCAGACCCGCGCCCCGCCATCCCAACTCCAGTGTGGGTCCGAGTGGGGGGCGGTCCCACGGGCTCAGCAGCTCCCGGGCTCCTGCAACTGCCCAAGGTGAGCACGTGGCTGAGTCAGGCCTGGTTTCTTAAACACTCCCACAAAAATAAGAACTCCACCGATCAAAATACACACATCTATGTACACGGTCCTCGTCCATCCCCGCGGCAGGCAGATGTGGCCCAGGGCCCGGGAGGCGGGCTCCCACCGCTCCCCACCGGTTCAGGCAGGCTCTGCTGATCGGGAGCGGTGAGCGCCGCCCCCCACAGTGGGTAGTGGGTGAGCCACTGCTGCCTCCTCCAGCCTTAAACTTTTCTGGGACCAAGCTACAAAGACACAGAAGCAAATCCGAAAGAGTCACAAGTACGTACATACACGTGCACACACATGGCCAACAGTGCGGGGGCACAAGGCCATGGGACCTGGAGGGGCTCTGCCCCACCCTATCCACTCCGCAGCTCCCAGGAGCCAAGGACGGGGGGGGGGGGGGCCCTGCTGCTCACGCCCTGACCACACCCAGGCCCTCCCTTCCTCCTTCCCCGTCTCCTGGTCTGGAGAGGAGGCAGGAAGGGATGGGCCCATATGCAGCTGGACACAGCAGAGAACCATAGGGTGGGCTGGGGGAAGCACAGGAAGTTTCTGGAAGGACCTATGGGTGCCTCTTCCCCGGCTGCCGCACAGCCAATGGCATAGATGGACAGGACCCGATGGGGTGGCCTGGGGGAAGGGGAATGGGCTGGGGAGCAGGAGCCAGATGCCCAGAGGACACGGCCTCTGGGGTCGAGTCTGCCCTTGGGTCACCCTGACCGGCTGCCCAGCAGGCCGCAAGCACCCGAGTCCGGCTTGGGGATGAAACAGGGCCGTGACCCCCGTCAGCAACAAGGACAGTGCGGGATCAGGGTACGCACAACGCAGCGAGCGGACCTGACTCGTTCTCCTCAGACAACAAGTCCAGCTCCCGATGACCGCCTTCGGCCCGGACACTGCCCGGGGCCCGCTCCGGACGTGGCGCCGTGTCCCCGAGAAAGTCAGCGGCACAGACGCCGGGGCAAGGGCAGCCGTGCTGGCCGCGGAGAAACCCGTCAGACGTCTGTCCCTCTGCTCCGTGGGCCGACCCCAGCCGTCCGCCCAGCCCCAGCTGACCGGCCTGGCGTCCCGCCGTCTGTCCCGCAGGTGTGAGTGGCGATGGCAGCGGCGAGCACGCACTTCTGGGAGGAGCACGCGGCCCCGGTGATGCCGCGGCAGACGGAGACGGAAGCAGGCTGGGTCCCAGGAGGCGTCCATCGTGCTCCCAGCAGAGCAGCCCAACAGATGGTCCCCGCCGGGGCCCCCTCTCTTGCTGGGGCCCGGCCACGTCCCCGCCCCAAACACCGGCTGCCAGGGTTCGCAATCAGGCTTTAATGAGAATCTTCGGGGTCCTCCAGGCCCGACTCCCCGCCCGCCCCGGCTGCGTCCTCTGGGGACTGTGTGCTGGGGAGGGGAGGGTCCATGCACGCTGATGAGAGGTGGGACTCTGCCGATCCGGACGGCGAGGCCCGAGACTCTACCGGATCCTGGTGAAGAGGTTGAGGACTGACACGGACTCCTGCGGGGCACACGGGAGGGAGCGCTGAGCCGCAGCCCCCGGGCGGCCTCCCCGGTGATCGGGAGCCGCTGGGCCAGGCCACTGGGGCCGGGCCCGCGGCAGCACCGGCGCGAGAAGGGACTTCTGCCTGGAGGGCATGCGAGGCTTCGGGCCAGGGGAGCCTGTGGGCACCGTGCCCAGCACCCTGAGATGTGTAGGGGAGTGAGGCTCTGAGCACCTTGTGCCATGTGGCCTGGGCTGTGTGGCAATGCGGGAGCAGAAAGGGGACTTGGGGGGTCCCAGAGGAGACCAGAGCTGACGGGGTAAACGGGGCTGGCCGGGTGACTCGGGGGGGGGTGCCCAGGACAGGCTTAGGGGACGCGCGTGGGGGAACATCTGGCACTGATACCGACCCACTTTACCTTTGTCGAACGGGTTTTGCTAAAGACATTCCAGAACCGCAGGGTTTCGTCCCCAGCACCGGTGACTATGGCCTCTCCGTCAGGGGACATGGCCTGTGGAAGCAGACAGACCCTCCCCTTGGCCTTATGCCCCGCAGGCAGCCCTACTGGGACAGAGCTGCCGGGATGCGGCCGGGGGCCGGGGGGCACGGTGGGGCAGGCCCCATGGAGGCCACCGGCCTGTATGGGGAAGGCCCGAGGTGGGCTGGCAGAGCCACGGTTAGAGCATCCTGGTCAGGACACACGGCTGCCCCCCACCTGCCTCAAGGACAGACACACTGCTCCGTACAATCGGATAAATGATATGTTTAAGCACAAAACGTTTTCTTCCGAAAAGACAAAAAACCGAGCACATCCAGAGAGGGATCCTTTCTCCGAGCCAGCGTGCACGGCAGTCCGGTGAAACGTTCAGGGACCAGCGAGTGCCGAGACCCGGTTACCAACAGAGGCTCTCTCTGCGCGTGCGCACACCAGCTCACACAGCTGAGCGGAGGAAGGGCAGGGCTGCAGGAAAGCGGGTGCCGGGTGGTGGGACAACCTGACTGTGTAGGCAGGCGGTCGCCCAGGCAGGGGGACACGGAGGCACGGGCTGCACACCGCCTCTCGGGGGCACGGGGCAGTGGTGTTCTTCCAGACCCCGGGCGGGCCACACTCACCAGGTACAGGACCCTGTAGGAGTGCCCGGTCAGCTTCGCCACCTGCGTCAGGGACGGGTACTTCCAGACCAGGATCTGGTTCTGCGAGTAGCCGTGCGTGCTCACCTGGGGGGGCAGAGAGGGTACTGCCGGGACTCAGGCCCCCCCTTCTGCAACCCTGGGGCTCAGACGCGAGCGGTGCAGCGCCCCCACCCAGGAGGCATCTCGGGCTTGACAGGCAAGGCACAGAGGCTGCGGGTGATGGCCCTTGCTCCCCGAGCTCCGGGAGACGGCCGGACTGAGCTGTCTGAGCCGACTGAGCTCCCGGAGCCCTGGGCTCTGAAGGCCTTCCGGGGCCGAGGCAGGAGGCGTGCGCGTGGGCCCTGTACTCACCAGCTCATTGGCGTGCTTGGACCAGGCCAGGTTGCACACCTGCGAGCCCGTGTCGATGCACTGCAGCGGCTGCCCTGTGAGCGTGTTCCAGAAGCGGATGCAGCGGTCGGCCGTGCCGCCGCCGGACGCCAGCAGCCCGTGCTGGTGCGGGGACCAGGCGATGGCCTTCACGGCCGCAAGGTGCTCCGTGTACTGCTGCACGGGGCTCAGGCTTGAGTGGTTCCAGACCAGCAGCTGTGGGGGCAGCGGCCGTGAGGCCCCTGAGCTCCTCCCAGCAGCCCCGCCCCGCTGGGGCAGCACCCGCATTGCCGTTCCCTGTGGTGGAAGGCAGAGCCTGAAGCCAGGAGGGCAGGAGCCCCAGAGCACCTACCTTGTTGTCGTTGCCCCCTGAGGCGAGGAGCTGGTGGTCCGTGGACCACTTGAGTCCACACACCTCCTGCCGGTGGCCCTGCAGCCGCCGCTCGGCCTGCAGGGGCGGCGTCCGGATGTCCCTCTGCAGGATCATGCGGTCCCGGCTCCCGGACGACAGCTGGTCGGCGTTCCAGGCCAGCGCCCCTGTGGGCCGGGCAGAGGGCAAGGGAGGCTGAGGCCTGGACCCCCAGGAATCACACTTGTCCCCCAGGGACTGGGTGGCTCCTCACCAACGCGGGCCGTGTGGCCCTCCAGCATGGACAGTTTCTTCCCCGCAGCCGCGTCCCAGATCTGCACAAAGCCCTTGTGCGTGCCGACGGCCACCAGGTTCCCCTAGGACCAATCACACAGGGAAGGGAGCGGGCGTCAGGCCCTCTCCTGGATGGGCAGCCCTGACTCTCCTCTCCCTCTGGGGGAGGTGCCACTTCTCTGCGAGTCTCTCTGGGCCAGGAGGACAGCCGTCCTCAGAACCCTCTGGGAAAACGGCCACACAAGCACCCTAGCTGACGCACTAAGCATCCGTGTGCTTCCGTGTGTGGCTGCTGCGCCAGCTGTGGTGGTGAGGAGGGCAGTCCACGGGGGACCACGTCTGGCCTCGTATCTCTGGGGAGGAGTAACCATCTCGACCAGGCTGGGGACAGGCAGGAGTGCCGAGGCTGTTCCCCGAGCTTAGACAAGTGACCGCCAAGCTGGGGCCTGGCCCCTGTGGGTCTCTGAAGCCCCCGCAGCACTGTGCAGGGCCCCCGCCCGCGAGACCGGGTCACATCTCCCCCGTGCCAGCCCTGCCTAGCTGGGGTCCGGGATCATGTACTGACCCGTTCAGACCAGCCCACAGACGTCACCGAGTCCCCTTCCACCGAGAGGTCACAGAGCCGGGTCACCTGGGGGAGAGAGGAAGCAGCCGGTGTGAGCTGACGCGCTGCCCACCTGGCCTCCAAGGCCCGCCCCATCCGTTCATCCCCGTCTGTCCCCGTTCATTCGCTCCGGGACACCTCAGGTCCGTGCACATGGGTGTCGGGGCTGAGAGCCGGGGCTCAGGAGGCTGCACGCTGGGAGGGGACACACACCAGCATGGGGACGATGGTGTGCACGGAGTCTGGACCGGGGGGTGGGGCGGGCGTGTTCGGGTGACCAGGGCGCTGTGCGGCAGGCGCAAGCCACGGGCTGCCTCGAGCACAGGAACAGCCCTTTCTGAGGCGGCTTCATGTGCCTCGTTTGGAATCCGCCTGTGTTTTACTCCCAAAGACAGCCCGCCCCAAGCGCACCAGCGTCCTGCCCTGCAGGCCCTGAACCCCGGCACTACTCGGGCGGCCCCCTCAGCAGTGCTGGGCCAGCTCGGTCCCGCCCGCCCCTGTGCACGCCCCCACGCGCGCAGCGGGGCCACCTGGCTGGTGCAGGCGCTCCACAGGTACACGCAGGTGCCCAGCCCCACGCTGAGCACGTTGAGGGACGACCAGTCCACCAGGTTCAGGTAGAAGTCGTCCTGCAGCTCTGGGGCGTCCAGGACCTTGAAGGGGATCTTGGAGATCTTGCGGGTGGGTTTCCGTGGCGACCGCAGCAGCTTCTGACTGCAGGGAGGGAGAGGCCGCCCCCCGCCCTAAAGCAGCCGCCGTCTCCTCTCCCCTGCAGCCCTACGTGCCCCCTCCCGGCTCGACGGGGTCTTCTGCTCATCCAGCCCCGCTTTCTGCCGCCCACGTGATCCCAAGGCTACAGGCGACCCAGCGGCCACCATTCTCCCTAGGCTCTGACAGCCACACCAGGCCCTCCGCCCAGCACCTCCTCAGGAGCCTTCCCTGACTCCCCTGCTGGGCCCAAAGCCGCTGAGCCTGCAGAGTGTCCCCAGCGCAGGACGCCCCCTGAGCCTCTCCTGCATCCCGAGCACAGGTCTTGGACCAACCCTGGCTCCCAGGTGGCGCCTGGCTGCCAGCCCGGCCCCGTCCCAGCCCTGTCCCTGCCCACAGGCCCAGACTCACCTCTTGTTGCTGACTGGGGACAAGGAGTAGGGAGACACGTCATTGCCATCGTCAGGGCTGGCGCGCTTGGTGCTGAGGGAATACTGGAGGTGGGGTGGAGGGGGACCTGGTGAGCGGAGCCTCAGCCCGAGCTCAGGGAGCTCCTGCCCGGAGCCCCGGTGCCCCCCGCGCTGCTGGAGGCCGGGCAGGCGTGCGGGGTGTGCACGGAACCCGGACGAGCTCTGGGGAGAGGGATTCCGAAAAGCAAACCAGACCTCAGGCCCGAGGCATTGTCTGGACAGTGACTTGCCTGTGTTAGCCTCCCCACTGTCCCCACGGCCATCAGCCCCCTGGCCATCTCTCGGGAGACCCAAGCCAGGCTCCTTCGAGTTCTGTGCCGGGGCCACGCTGAGGTTCGCGACCGTGCACTTGGCCCCTGCCCCAGCGCTGCCTTCAGGGCAGCAAGAGAGCAAAGCCTCGGCTCGTGGCGTGGGGCTACGTGTCTGCCCGGCTGGGCACAGGAGGGCCGAGCGGGGGCCGAGCCAGGTGGCCTGGTGCGGCGCGGGCTGCCGGTGGGGAGGGGCTGCGGGCTCACCGTAAACAGGCCCTTCTTCTCGGGCGTGGAAGGCTGTAGCCTGCGGTCCTCCGTCTGCGGGTCCTGCACCTTCTCGATGCCGGCTCCCAGCAGCTCGTTCTTCAGCAAGGCAGAGTAGGCCAGGCCGTCTGCGGACAGCGGGCTCTGTGAGCCACGGAAGGGCGGGGGGGGCGGGGGGGACGGACATGGGGGCAGGGGCGCGGATGGCCTGACTCCTGACCTTTGCCGTTGTCTGAGGTGGCATCCTTGGCTTTCCGGTTTTGGCTGGGGGACTTCTCGTTCTCCTGCGGGAGAGGGAGGGGGAGGAGGCAGGGCAGCTGGAGCGAGCCTCCGGGGCCCCTGCTTCCCCCGGCCCCTGCCCCGGCCGCCACCCTCTGGGCACCCCCTCACATTGATCCTGTGGAAATTCACGCTCCAGTTGGCACCGGCCCTGGAGGGGATGAAGCGGTCCCCGTGCTTGCTGGGAGAGGACACGGGAGAGTTGGCTGGCGTCAGGGTTCGCCGCATCTCCGCGACCTGCAAGGATGGCAGGTGGTGCAGGTGCCTCAGAGCCCGCCGCGTGCAGGGCCAAGGCCAGCCCGACTGCACTTGGCCTCTGGTCACTGAGCCAGGGCATCGGTTCTAGAAATCCCGGCGGCAGCGGTGAGCCGGTGAGCGAGCCACGTGCTTGGTCTCGCCTCCCTGTTCCGGGAGTGGCAGAGCGGGGAGCGCCTGCACCGGCCACAGGGCTGTATCTGCTTCCCGGTCATCGCAGGCAGTGGGAAAGAGCACAGTGTGGACCCCGGACCCTGGACACCCTGTGCTCTGAGAGCCACCGCCCCATCAGGGCCATCCCCCTCAGGCGAGGACGGTTCCCTGCGGAACCACAACTCCCTCACCAGAGCCGGGCAGTGGATGTGGGGGCTCAGCTCCCGGCAAACCGGCCCACCCCCCTTTCCCCATAAGAGATGTGCAGTGGGTTGAACCATGTCTCCCAAAAGGACACGCTGAAGCTCTAACCCCGGCACTGGGATGTGACCTTACTCAGACACAGCGTCTTCGCAGGTGTAAGCCAGTTAAGACGGCCACACTGGAGTGGGACAGGCCCCAAATCCATGTCCCGTGTCCTCCTAAGAGCCAGAGACGCTGACACACAGCGAAGGGGACACTAAGACAAGGCAGAGACGGGAGGGCTGGCCCTGAAACCAGGGACTGCCAGCCACACCAGCAGTCCTAGGAAGGACTCCCCCACAGGGCCCCCAGAAGGAGCATGGCCCTGAGACACCAGGGGCTGAGGCCTCGACAGCCTGAGGAGCTCAGAGAGCGCAGAGAGGAGCAGCGAGCATGGCCTGCGACATGTCAGGAGCCCGGGACACAGGCAGCATGGCGGACCGGGTGGGGTACAGGGAAGAGGCACCCCCAAACGCTGCTGGCTTCCAGCAGATAAGGACCAGGACCCCTCATGCCACCATCGCAGCTGTGCGCAGTCAGGCCAGCCCACAGGTCTGAGACACTGGGCCCCTTGCCTCCCTCTCTGGAAACTGAGGGCACCTCCCCCGTCCCCCTCCTCAGCCCTCAGCGCGGCCCCACAGGAACAGAGGTCTGGAAGCTGATGGTCCACGGTCCACGCGGGCTCCAGCAGCAGGAAGGGCGCGGGAAGCCGGAGGAGGGGACTCGCTGGTGTGGCTGTGCCCCTCCCCCACCCTGCTCCCACCCCCCACCCATCCTCTAGGAGGTGAAGCCAGGGGCTCACCGCAGTCCCCGCCCCAAGCCCCGCCCCAAGCCCCGCATGGAGCCAGGCCAGTGCCAGGCCAGTGCCAGGCCAGTGCTGGCTGGGGTGGGGCGCCAAGAACTCACGCAGGGCATGGTGTTCTCATTCTGAACGACGATCTGCCGGAGGAGACGCCGCTCGTAGTCCTGGTCCATGGCGACACAGGGCAGGCCCAGCCCGCCGGCCGAGGTCAGCTGGCCAAGGTCAGCCTGGGGCAGGAAGGGCAAGACCAGGATCAGCACCAACGGCAGCAGCCCCCACCACTGCCTTGCGGCCGCGGGGAACTCCGCAGCAACGGCCGGGTGCACCCCACAGGCTATGGAGGCCACAGGGCGGTGGGATGGAGAGGACCGGGGCTCCCCCCCGGCCTTTGTCCTGGTTAGTGCAAGTCTCTCATCTGTCTCTGGGCCATGAGCCACCCCTCCAAGCCACGAAGCCCACCACGTCGCTTCCTGCTTCAGACCCTCTTGAGGCCACAAGCTGCCCCCCGACCACACCTAGCCCTGAGATGGGGGGCTGGACAAGGGCTCAAGTGGTCCCAACATGGGTTCCTCCCTGAACGGGGAAGCCTCTGTATCCTAGAACAAGATGGGGATGGGCACAGTCCTCACCCTGCTGGCCTGTGTGCACAGCAGGCAGGGCTCAACAGCACCACGTGGCAGAGCTCACACCCACTTCCCACTGTGCTCAACTCCGCTCGGAAGGCTTCTCGGAAGAGGAGTGAGAAGAGAGAAGGCAGCCGAAGAATGTTCTAGAAGGAGGAGCACATGGAGGGAAGAAAGGGCTGAGCGCTGTCCAGCAAAAGGGGGAGCAGGCGGCCACCTCTGGGAGAAGGGTGCTCCTCACCACCGGGCCACACGCCAGGCCCCCTGCCAGGGGGGTGCTTCCAGAAACCAATGCGGAACGTTTGCCAGCCGTGCCTGCCCTGGGGGCTCTACAGAGCCTCGAGGCCGGAGCAAGGATGTGGGGGACAGAGCCCGGCACAGGGGCTGCTCAGAGGACGGCTTCCTGCGGCGCGCCACTCTCCACCCCAGACTCCCTGAGCGCTCACAGTCACCATCCCCCGCTACTCCAGCTGGAGCCCTGCGGCCCTGACAGGGAAGGACCAACTGAAAAGCAGAAGCCAGCCCAAAGTTCTAAGTTTATGAGTTCTGAAGTGTAACACCCTGCGGAGGTCAACAGCTGCGTTTAAGGAAAAAATCACAGTAAGAGACACGCAACATAAGACGGAGTGTCGGGGGTGACTGGTGGGGCTCAGTGGGCTGAGCCTCTGCCTTCGGCTCAGGTCATGATCTCAGGGTCCTGGGATCGAGCCCCAAGTCAGGCGCTCTGCTCGGCGGGGAGCCTGCCTCCCCCTCTCTCCCCACCTGCCTCTCTGCCTACTTGTGATCTCTGCCTCTCAAATAAATAAAAAAAATCTTAAAACAAAACAAAAAACCATGTAGCGTCGGAACGGCTTTAAGCACACAGCTCTGCGGCGTCCAGCACTCACGTTGTTCTGCGAACACCCTCGGCTCCAGAGCGAGCTCCAGAACCTTCTCACCCTCCCAAACTGAGACTGTCCCCACGAAGCACAGGCCCCACCCCGAGCCCACGAGCTTGTGTGTGTGTGTGTGTGTGTGTGTG